AAGCCGGGCTCGGTGACTCAGCCTGTAATCCTGCGCTTTGGGAGGCCGAGGTGAGTGAATGGCCTGAGCCCGCAGGTTCGAGACCCGCCCGGGCAGCTTGACGAGACCTCATCTCTACAATAAAATCAAAAATTAGCTGGGTGTGGTAGCGCGCGCCTGTAGCTCCAGCTACTTGGAAGGATCGCCTGAGCCCAGCAGGTGGCCAGGAACGTGCCACTACACTCCAGTCTGGGTGACAGCATCAGACTCCAACTCAAAACAAAATAAAAAATAAAAATAGAAAAAAAAAGGAAAAGGTGCAAGGGGACCTTTCTGTGCAGGCCCAGGGCAGCAGACACCACTCAGGACTGCAATGCAGAGTAAGATTCAGCGGGGAGTTCAGGGGGAAGACAGTTCTGGTTCACCTCTGGAGCCAAAATTAAGGATTGGACGTTGAGGAAAAGAATGGATGGTTCTGAGACAAAGCCCTGGGGAAACTGGGAAAAACGGACAGGACTTGCTTTCTTTCCTGATTTGGGACCTGAACTAGCTTCCATCCCTCCTCCACCCTGCTTTTTTTTTTTTTTTTTCTTAAAGATTATTTTTACTGCTGGAATACTTTTGTAGAAAATCACGAAAGAACTTTCAAGGCCTGGGAGGGACTGCATGAAAATTCGGTTCGTCTCTCCAGACAGCTTCGACGCATTCTCTTGGTAAGGGGTCTCCTGCTTCTCATTCTCTGCCTCTCTCCATAGTTTCATGGAGCTCTGGACGTTTCTTACATATTTGGTATTACCCTCCTTTTTCAGCTGATGAAAACCTTATTTCTCCTTCAAGTCGGGTTTCTCGTCTGCTATTTTGCAATTCAGAGCTCTCTGCTAAGATCCCTTGCCCTTCCATTTTCTCTCTTTTTGTTTTTTATTTTTATAGAGACAAGGTCACACTCTGCAGCCTAGGCTGGTCTCAAACTCCCGTGCTCAGTGGATCCTCCTGCCGCAGCCTCCCAAAATGCTGTGATTACAGGCACGAACCACAGCGCACGGTCTCTTTTTCTTTCTTCCATGGCTTCACGTTTCTTCTGTCTCTCCTTAGGGTTTTATTGACTTTCTGGTCAGAATTCTTTCCTCCTCCTGTCTCTTCTTTTTAATCCAGCTTAATTTACTTTCTCCAGAATGTTCCAAAGCCATTCACCCAGCTGAGAAGCCTTTTCCACTCCCAGCTCCGTTTTGAAGTTATTCGCTCCATTGATTTCTCCTTTCTCCACAGCCCCTCTATGAGGTCGACGACTTACGAGATGCATTTCGTACTTTGGGACTTTGATACCAACCTCCAGCAATGTCACACACAGTGAACTGTCATGGCTGGAGACAGTGGATACAGAACCCATCTTTCAGGTCTTCTCTGTTTTTCTTCTTCCACTCTTGACTTTCTTAGAGTTTAGAGAAAAAACATTTTCATATAGGACTCTTTAAAAATATCTATGTCTTGAAAATGGAGAAGGAACACAGACTCTGGCCAGGGCAGTGCTACCAACGGGCACAGTTTTGATGCCTCATTGTCCCCTAATGAGAACAACAAAACTGCAGGACCTGGGAGCATCCTGCAGTGTCAATGTTCTCCCGCAGCTTTTTAGGCAGGATGAAAGCAGAAAGAAGATTCTAGAATATGGGAGAGGGTGAAATGTTTAATATTGGCATCCTTTATTATGTGATTCTCTTGAGCTGTCCATGGTGTTTTCCTACTCTTGTCCCGGGAGGTTACCTTCGAGTAACACAGATTTTTCCATCAGGCCATTATCTATAGAACCTCCTCATGAGAGAATCTGGGTGTTTGTCACACCAAACCATCTCTCCCAAGTGTTAACATCCAGGCATGTGCTGTATGTTTTAATCATCTGAGGTGTATTTTTATGTGTGTTCATAAGAAGATTTTCGGGGGTGGGAAGGAGGTGTAGACTAGGCAGGGTCCTCTTCAAGCTGTTGTCATCAAGGGATCTGAGGATGGACATCTGGATTGTGAAGAAGACACTTGAGCAATGAGTTGGTGCCTCCGGAAACACAGACTCTTTCAAAGAAGTCCAGATCCGGAAGCTCCCAGAGACTTCACACATGATAAATAGTGAACGGTTGGAAGAGAGTTGAGAAAAGTCATGATGTTTAATACTTGAGAAAAGGAAAATCTGTTCTCTCTGGTGGATTTTTAATCTCAGCAGTGCCAACCGAGTCAAGGTTTTCTACCTTTTGTGTGAGTGTAATGCTCCTCCCAAAGATGTTAATTATTCAAAAGAGTGACAAAAAGAGATAAGAATACCAAGCAAGCCCTGGCTTGGTGGCTCAGCCTGTAATCCTGCACCTTGGGAGGCCGAGGTGAGTGAATTGCCTGAACACGCGGGTTCGAGACCCGCCTGGGCAACTTGGCGAGACCTCATTTCTACAATAAAAATCAAAAAAATTAGCCGGGCGTGGTAGCACACGTCTGTCGTTCCAGCTACTCGGAAGGCTGAGGCGGAAGGATCGCCGGAGCCCGGCAGGTCGAGACTGCGGTGGCCGGGAGCGGCCACTGTGCTCCAGTCTGGGCGACGGAGTGAGACTCCAACTCAAAAAAATCAAAAGAATACCAAGCACCGCCGTGCATGCCTGCAGTCTTAGCTGCTTGAGAGGCTGAGGCAGAGGACTGCTGGAGCCCAAGAGTTTGAGCAGCCTGGGCAACCTAGTGAAACCTGGCCTCTAAAAAAAAATAAGAGAGCGATTCTCTCTCTAGAGAGAGAATAATATTTGGGAGAGAAAGCATTGCAAGGAAACTGGGCTTTACATAGCAAAATGTAGAGTCATCATGGGCTCCCTGTTGGTGCCTGTGTGTCTTATCAACTATCTTTCATGGTAAAAAAAATATTCTGAATTGCCATGACCCTGTGCGATTGTTACCCAGAAACCTTTGCACTGAAGATGAACAGATCCACAGGAAAACTTGTATGCACAACTGTATTATTTTAATCTTATTGTATATAAGTTTGTGATATAGTTAAATATTAAAATGTGTTACTTCCTGTGTTCATTTATATTTTATATTATGTTGTATGCATCTAATTATAATTTTTTCGGATATATTGAAATGGATTCCTAAAGTCTCATAAATTTATAACTTTAGAAATGATTCTAATAACAAAGTGCATAATTGTAATGCAGTTTAGCATTGTAGTAGTATTGCTATGCAGTCATTTTTCTTGATTTTTAGTAAATTTTTACCACAGCAAATTTGAATTTTGATTGCTTTGAGTTTTTAAACCAATGAAATAAATGATAAATAAGTTTTGAAGTTTTGAAGATAAAAGACTAAATAAAATAATACAAAAGTGATTTATAATAAGTTAAAATAAGTCAGTACAGTGGCACAAACTTGAAAGTCCAAAAATTAAGCCATATATCCATGACCAGTTAATTTCTTTTTTTTTTCTTTTTTGAGTTGAAGTTTCACTTTGTCACTCAGGTTGAAGTGCAGTGGCACGCTCCCAGCCACCACAGCCTTGACCTGCTGGGCTCAGGTGAACCTTCCACCTCACCCTTCCAGTAACTGGAACTACAGGCACATGCCACCACACCCAGCTAATCTTTTTTTTTTAATTTATGGTAGAGATGAGGTCTTGCCAAGTTGTCCAGGCTGGCCTCAAACCTGTGGGCTCAGGCAATCCTCTCACCTCGGCCTCTCAAAGTGCTGGGATTATAGGTGAGAGCCACTGCACCTGGTCTGGTCAGCTAATTTCTGACAAGATGCAAGGACCGTTCCATGGGGAAAGAATAGTCTTGTCAACAAATGATGCTGCTGACTGGGTGCAGTGACTCATACCTGTAATCCAGCACCTTGGAAGACCAAGGTGAGAGAATTTCCTGAGTCCAGGGGTTTGAGACTAGCTGGGCAACTTGACAAGACCTTGTTTCTACAATAAATAAATAAGTATTTAACTGGGTGTGGTGATACTCACCTAAAGTCCCAGCTACTTGGAAGACTGAAGTGGAAGGATATCCCAAGCCCAGCATGTCAAGGCTGTGGTGGCCATAAGCGTGCCACTGCACTCCAGCCTGGGTGAGAGAATGAGATTATGACTCAAAAAAAAAAAAACCAAACAAACAAAAAAAAATGACACTGGACCAACTGAATGTCACCTGCAAAAGAATGAATTTGGAGCCGGGCTAGGTGGCTCAGCCTGTAATCCCGCGCCTTTGGGAGGCTGAGGTGAGTGGATTGCCT